TATTTTTGGTTTACACACTCCATTTATCTGCTTTGTTGTTTGTATATTAATTTCTTTTTACATATAATTTTTAAATCTCTAGGAGTGACGAAACTTTATAACATAATATGAATCGAAGTTGGATGAATGCACGCCGTATTAGTGAAGAGTACGAAAAGGGAGTTGAGGAATTTTTGAAATTTGCTAGTGAAAATGGAAAAGCTATGAAAGGGACATATTATTGTCCATGTGTTCGTTGTTTGAATCAAATTCGTCATAAACTTGAGGATATACGTGATCACTTGTTTGTTTATGGTATTATTAAGAGTTATACAATATGGACATGGCATGGAGAAATATTAGACATCCCAACTGTGTCAATTACAGACAATTTTGATGAAGGGATGAATGATAATCTAGAGGATATGATACGTGATATTGGTGAAGAAAATTTTATGAAAGCACATGTATATGATTCTTTGAAATCTGATTTTGCACAACAATTGTACATAGGATGTAGTTTTACAAGATTATCAACAACTTTAAAATTGTTTACTTTAAAAGCAAGAAATGGATGGACTGATAAAAGTTTCACCGAATTATTGGAGTTGTTGAAGGAGATGCTTCCTGAAGATAATACATTACCTATTCGTAACTATGAGGCAAAGAAAATATTATGTCCAATGGATTTAGAGTACAAGAAGATACATGCATGTCCTAATGATTGTATATTGTACAGAAACGATTTTGCTAAATTAAAGATGTGTCCGACATGTGGTTTGTCGAGGTTGAAAAACAAAGTTGAGGAAAGTAGTGGTGAGGAAGAACTAGATGGTCCCCCTGCTAAGGTGTTATGGTATTTGCCAATTATACCTAGGTTTAAAAGATTATTTGCCATAAAAGAAGATGCAAGAAAATTGACATGGCATGCAAATGGTAGAAAATGTGACAATCTTCTTCGACATCCAGCTGATTCTCCACAATGGAAAAGGATTGATGAAACCTTTCCAGAATTTGGTGCAGAGCCAAGAAACTTGAGAATTGGATTAACTACAGATGGGATGAATCCTTATGGAAATTTAAGTAGTAAACATAGTTCATGGCCAGTTTTGTTGATCATTTACAATTTGCCTCCTTGGTTATGCATGAAGAGAAAATATATGATGTTATCTATGATGATTTCAGGACCTCGACAACCAGGAAATGACATAGATGTATATCTTAGTCCTTTACTTGATGATTTGAAGATGTTGTGGGAAACAGGAGTGGATGTATTTGATTCATATCACGAAGTGAATTTCAGGTTGCGTGCAATGTTATTTTGTACGATAAATGATTTTCCAGCATATGGTAATTTGAGCGGTTATAGTGTGAAATGTCATTTAGCGTGTCCTTTATGTCAAGAAGACATAAGTTATATCCAATTGAAACATGGACAAAAAACTGCGTACAATAGGCATAGAAAGTTTCTAGTTGCTAATCATCCATATCGTAAAATGAAAAAAACATTTAATGGATGTCAGGAGAATGCAGTTGCATCAGTACCACGCAATGGTGAACAAGTATATGAGCAAGTGAAAAATATTAATATTGTGTTTGGAAAGACCCAAAAGAAATCCAATGAGAAAAACATTTGGAAGAAACAGTCTATATTCTTTAATCTTCCTTATTGGTGTAAGTTGGAAGTTAGACACTGTATAGATATGATGCATGTTGAAAAAAATGTTTGTGACTTGCTTAACATAAAAGGAAAGACAAAAGATGGAATAAAAGCAAGACAAGATTTGGCAGACATGGGTATACGTTCTGAATTACATCCACAATCAGTTGAAAAACGCACTTACTTACCTCCAGCTTGTCATACTCTATCAAAGAAAGAAAAGAGAAGCTTTTGTGAGTGTTTACGTGAGGTCAAAGTGCCACAAGGATACTCCTCAAATGTTAAGAGTCTTGTGTCTATGCAAGAGTTGAAATTAGTTGGTTTAAAGTCTCATGATTGTCATGTGTTGATGCAATAACTTTTACCAGTGGCTATTCGAAACATCTTACCAAATTCTGTTAGAATTGTTATTACTCGGTTATGTTTGTTTTTCAACGCCATTTGTAAAAAGGTAATTGATCCAAAAAAGTTAGATGAATTAGAAAATGAAGCAATTGTAATAGTGTGCCAGTTAGAAATGTATTTTCCCCTTTCATTTTTTGATATCATGGTGCATTTGATAGTCCATTTGGTAAGGAAAATTCGGTTATGTGGTCCAATTTTTCTTAGATGGATGTATCCTGTTGAGAGATACATGAAGATCTTAAAAGGATATGTGAAGAATCAGTACATGCCAGAAGCTTCTATTGTGGAAAGGTACATTGCAGAAGAAGCCATTGAGTTTTGTTTAGGATACATGTCAAAATCAGAACCAATAGGTATTCCTAAGATGAGACATGATGGAAGATGTGAAGGTAACGGTACTCGAAATTTAAAGATTAAAAATGTTAGTCGGAAAGAAGTTGACCAAGCACATTTATACATATTGAACAACACTGATGAAGTAATCCCTTACATATCACAACACATAACTGAAATAAAGGCAACACATCCACGAATGAATGAAAAATGGGTATTGAATGAACATAACAAAAGTTTCCTTTCTTGGTTTAAAAAAAGGGTATATGTTGAGATTAATATTTCAGAAACACTTTTGAGACTTGCTCGTGGGCCTAATAGTGATGTCATTACATTTGGTGGGTATGACATTAATAATTATTGTTTCTACTCAAAAATAGAAGATGATAAAGGTAGAGTACAAAATAGTGGGGTCACAATTCAAGCTGAATCTATGCATTTTTCTAGTTCTAAAGACAAAAATCCTATCACAGCTTCTATGAGTTATTTTGGGGTCATACAAGAGATATGGGAAATTGATTATGTTACTTTTAGGGTGCCTGTCTTCAAGTGTAAATGGGTTGAAGGGAATACAGGTGTGTGAACAGATGACCTAGGATTTACTTTGGTTGACTTGAGTAAAGTTGGGTATAAGGATGAACCTTTTATTTTGGCATATCAAGCGAGACAAATATTTTATGTCAATGATCCATGTAATGAGAGATGGTCAATTGTCCTTGAAGGAAGAAACATGCACGGAATTCATGAAGATGAGTCTCTAGATATACATGAAACACCTTCATTTTCAAGTAGACCATTTGATGACATAGTTGACAATGAAGTTGATGACATACATGCAATTCGAAGTGATCATGATGAAGGGATATGGGAAAACATACCAACATAATAGGTGTTTATCTTCACATTTTCTAGTTCTTTTTATTTAAACTTATAAATTATGTTGACATTATATTGTTTTGTTTTTCAGGATATGTCAGATTCCACATCTGGTAGTGGTAGTGGTAGTGGCAGTGGCAGGAGCGGAAGTGGAGGTAAAGGTAGATCTGTCACTCGGTTAAAGGGGTTGACAGCAAGGAGGGTAGCTAGAGAGAAAACTCAAGTTGAAGTTGATCCACGTTCTGGTATGGCATTTGGCCCAAATGCTGCTAAGTTTAAGAGCTATTTGGGACTACTAGCTCGACACCATGTTCCGATTACTACTCCATCTTGGGATGAGGTAGAGGAAACCAAGAAGAACCTCATGTGGCAGGATGTTCAGGTATTTCTATATTTGTTGAATACTTTATATATCATTATTAATTGAATTTAACATTTATTGGTCATTTCACGAGTAAAATTTTGATGTTCCTAACACTGAGGTGATGAGGAGGAAGATTTTATCCTCCATTGCCATTAGATGGAGGGACTTTAAGACTTTCTTGACACGGGAGTATGTATTTGGAAAGTTTCAAGATGAATCTCCTCGTCTAAAGTATCAAATTAGTGAGGAGGATTGGTTACAGCTTTGTGCCAGCCGAATTGACCCCTCTTGGCGGGATAAAAGACGTGCTGCCCAACAACGTCAGAGGTTGAATGATGCACCCCATGTATTGTCACGAGGAGGGTATGCATTATTGGAGCAACGTCTCATGAAAGCCAGAGAAGAGTCAGCAGGAGTTGAGTCTACTGACCTTGCATCTCCACCCCCTCGCTATGAGATGTGGATGACAGCCCGGACAAAATCTGATGGACAAATGACTTTTGAGTCTGCATGAATCATTGCTCAGAATATCATAAGTTATAATGTCAATTTGAATTGATTCTAATGTGAAAGTTAGTGTATGACTTAATTATTATTAATGTGTTGTAGGATGATTTAGTTGAGCAGAGCACCCAATGATCATTTATTCCTCATGGTCGACAAGATATATTGGCGACAGCCATAGGAAAACCAGATTACTCAGGATGTGTGCGTGGTGCTGGTGGATCCCGGGACCTTCATGATTACTTTGGTCCAACATCACGAAGGACCACTATCGACTCTTGCAGCCAGGAGGCCTTGCATAAAATGGAGATGCAGTTTGAAGAAAAATTAAATCAAATAAGGCGAGTCCTTGCGAGCAAGAGTTTGATGAGAAAATTGAATCTCTCGCCCGCTCTCAAGCAATGAGACTCAAGGAACACCTCAAACAATTGAACATGATGTTGTTCGAGTTAGCACTAAAGGGAGTTGTGCTTCTACTGTCGCTGATCCTTCAGGAGAATATACTCGAGATCGATGCATCACACCAGGTGTGAGTTATATGTTGAAGATGACCCCCGCGTCTAGTGGCTATTGGTCGAGTTTTTGAGGGTGGTTTAACCATCCATGGTGTCCCTCTACGAGCGGACTCGGACACGAGTAGTAGTTGATGAAGTTCATGATGCTAATGCTCCGAGTGCCTTTTCCTAATGAAGAGATTCAATTAGTGGGGCAGGCAAGCGGGACATTCTTGGCTTGGCCAAGACGTTTGGTTATGCCACTATCAGCACAAACCAAGGTAATATATATATATATATATATATGTATATATATATTGTCTATTTTCTCTTTTCTAGTATTATAATTATATAAATGTTTAATTAATTGTTATCATTTGTTTAGGAGGACTTGCGTCGTGCTAAGCATAAAAAACAACCTATTATTGATGAAGATTTGACAGAATGTGATGATGATCCCATCTCTATGTTGTTGACCATATTACCACGGTTGAGGAAGAGACCAGTGTCAGATACAATGGGATGTTAGAGTGTTTGGAATTGACAATTCCAGGTGTTCCATTATACATTTCCTTGCCCGATGCTTTAGAAATTGCATGTTAAACATTTCCATCATACAATTGTGGGGAATGTAAGTCATTCTCATTTATGTTTCTAAGATTATAATAATTATATTCAACTTATAATTAATTGTTTTAGGTACATTGACAAATTGAGTGTGAAACAAGAAAAATCCGAAGTATACGGATTTATTGAGCCTCAATCCATCCAAAAATCTGGAAATACAAAGGTTGAAATCCAACAATATATGCAAACATGGATGAGTGACTCAAAAAGACATATATATTTGGCTCCATACATTGAAGGGTTAGTATTTTAATTTATATTTTTGTAACTAATTTTTATGTCATACAATGTAGGTCCCATTGGCAGTTAATTGTAATCATACCCGGGATTACACTCGTGGTGTGGTTTTGTTCATTACATCTGAAACCGAGTCAAGAAATGAAAAGCTTATTACAAGGGTAAGGGTAACTTTATCTTTTATTCATTAATTATGTTTTTAAATTGTAAATACATATTGAATAATATATGACTTTTTTTCACTTAGAATCGTGTCTCGGAACTAATGTTCTAAGTGGAAAACCTAGAACAAAGACTTTGCAGTTCATTTATCCTAAGGTTAAAAACTTATTTATATAAGTGAATACCATAATTATTGTTTGTATTTAAATTTTAAAAATAACATTATGTTTTTTTCATCATTTCAAGTGTAATAAGCAAACAGACTCGTTTGAATGTGGTTACTATGTTATGTATTGGATGAGAGCCATAGTTTGTGCGGGTATAATTGATTCTTGGACGGAGGTAATTGCTTTTAACATTAGTTAAGTTTATTTAACTTTATTCATGTTGCATGTTTACAAGAGTCAAATTAATGTTTCAGGTATTTCAAGATCCATCTCCATTACCAGAATATGATATTACACAAATTAGAGAACAATAGGCAAAATTTTTTGTTCAACAATTCTAGTACATAATTTTTTAAGTTCTTGTTCATATTATATTGTGTGTATTATGTAGTTTAGGTAGCTTAGTTTGTATTAACTTTTAGTTTGTAATAGATTTTTTAGTTTGTATGTTTGTATTATATTCTTTTTTTATTATGTAATTTGAATTATATAATATTATATTTTTAATTTACTAGCTAAAGAAAATTGAACCTCTGGACTGTCTGGTTGTAATATATATTTGCAAGTTTTAGTTGTAAAACAGAATCAACCCAATTTTAAAAAAAAACAGCAAATTTATGTCGCGTATATGTGACGTAAATTTACGTCGCGTATACCAATATGCGACGTAAATTTGCTGTTTATTTTTTTTTTAATTTTTGAAAGTTTTTACATCTATTTAGTGGTATATGCAACACAAAATTACGTCGGGTCTTGATAATTGACATAAATTTACGTCGGGCTAAAGGGTTCGACGTAAATTTACGTCTCCTGTTTTAACGTCAGTCTTAAATACAACGTAAAAAGCCCTAAATACCTGACGTAAAAGCTCCTTTTTGCACTAGTGCATATTAGAGTTCTTATAAGTTTTATTCCAATAGGTATTTTTTTTAGGTATTCATGTATTTTATAATTTTTTTATTTACATTTCATTTTATAAATTAAAATAATTTAATTATTATAATTAAATATTAATTAAAGATAATTTTTAATTTAAAATAATGGTAAATTTATAAGATGTTTTAAATTTTATAAAGATTATCTTTTTCAATATAATATCAAAATTAAAAATAAATTATTTGTACAAAAATTAAAATATTTAAACAAGTATTATAAGGTCAAATATTTTTTCACGTTAAAAAAAATTGTTAATTTTATGTCTTATTAACTTAATATATATATTGATGTTTATAATTTTAATTGTAGAAAAATTTAATTTTATGATTAATAGTAAATGTATATGATCAAAATATACAAAGTTTAATATGTAAATGAATTATTTCTATATTGGGTGACATCTAAATCCCCATATAAATATATATATATATATATATATATATATATATATATATATATATATCATTTAATATTCATCTATAACTATAGATAAATAGAATTTCTTTTGTAGTTACTTTTTTGTCATTTGAGATAGAAAAATAAAAATATTATAATTAAAAGAAAGAATAGTTATTATGATTTATATATTTAAAAAATAATAAAAATATGAGAAAGAGAAAGAAGTAGAGAAAAAATCAATATATTTTAAAAATGGATACATTTAAAAAGTGGATATATTAAAAAAATTAATTATAAAAAATATATAACATAAAATTAATTAGTTTTTAGTGTTGATAATTAATTAATAATAAATAAAATAAAAATAAAATAAATTATTTTTTAGTAAACACAAATATTTATTATAATTATCATATAAAAACATATTTTATTCAAATATTATATGTCATTATTATAATATTGCTGTTATTTTGTAAATAAAATAAAACATGAATGTTTATATCCTATTTTTATTAAAAATTAACATTAATAAATTCTTAAATTTATTTATTTTAATAAATATAATTTAAAATCAACTCCAATATAATTCTAAGATAGACAATTTTTTATTAAACGAGTTAAGCCTTTCGTGTGAAAATAATTATAAAAATATTTAAATATATTAAATTGTATTAATTTTTTAATATTTTCTTAAAATATTATTTCCATAAAATAAAAATGAGCAAACGAAAATAATAGATAATAACTGAAAATTCCACTGTAACCAAATTTGACCAATGTGCAGAAAATTCGTTGAGAAAGGGTTGGGCTTAGAGTCTAGAAATCGTAATATATAATTTTTTATTTTTCATTCATAATTTCAAATCTAAATTTTATTTAAAATATTCATTTTTTTCTTGTCAAACTAACGTAGCGTTTGATTTATTTGTATGTTAGTAAGAAAAAATTATTTTAATGGGATAAAATTATTGAAAATATAGTTTAATGACTAGAATTTGAATTTAATATTCTTGATTAAATTACAATAATAATATATAAGTTGATTTAAAGTGTGACGTTCTTTATTTATTTTCTAAGCTAATATGTCTTGAAAGATAATTAATTCAATTCGTTTTGATGATACAATAATTTTTTAAGAAAACATATTTTTACAAATATTTAATTATTAAATAACTATTTTTTAATAAAATAATTAACAACGTTTCACATTCGGAAAGAATAAATAACCTGTAAAAGTTATCTCATAGATTTTATATTATTTTTTTCGATGTGATATTACGTGTATCATCATACAAATACCAATTCTTAAAATGGTCATAAATTCCTACCTTTACCCCACTCAAATAATTCTTTATTTCCGAATGAAGTGAATCTCCCGTTTATAAAAGTATTGTGCTACACTGCTGCGTTTGTATTAGTCAAAGAATCCGCGTCACGTGTTTTTTTATCGTGTTTGTGTTGTCTTTTGAGTCTGTGTTTAGTATTGTGACTGTTGTGTCTTCTTCCACGGCACGAGGGCCAATCAATGGAAGACCATGTTCACCACCCTTCGTCAAACGACGTTGTCGTCAACGTCATCTGTGACTCTGCTCCCGACGGTCGTTGCCTTCATCCGACCCTTCATCCGACCAACCATGCATTCTCCCCTCAGCAACAACAACAACATCAGGTTGGTTTTGTGTTCATTGTAACTTCAGTTTCAGCGACCAATGTTTAATTTGATGAATAACAATTAGCAACATGTTTGTTTGTTGATGTTGATGATGAGGTGCAGGATGGGAATGAGAGAAGGGACAGTTTGATTCTTGCGTACAAGACTCTTGGCGTGGTTTTTGGAGGACTTGTGACTTCACCCCTCTACGTTTACCCTTCAATGCCACTCAAGTCTCCAACGGAAGATGACTATTTGGGCATTTACAGCATCATGTTTTGGACTCTTACTCTCATAGGGGTTGTCAAGTACGCCAATGTAGCCATTAGAGCTGATGACCATGGCGAAGGTAATAGCTATTTTCATTCTATTTGGATTCACGATGGATCATTCAGAATCACGGTCAGATGAAGGATTAATGGTAGTTGAAGTTAAATTTCACTTGCTTGGGCTCAAGAAATTGATTTTTGAGTCCAAAATTAATATTTAATTGAAATAAGTTTTGGACTAGTTTTGCATTGAATTGATAAGTTTATACTAAATTTTGTTATTAAATTGCTTTAGATTAAAACATTCAAGTGCGAATCACTTCATTTTAGAACCAATTCAACAGAAATGAATATGTTTTGTAACAAGTTTCTTACCATTGGACGGGGTTCAACCAAACCGAAGCAAGTTTATTATCAATTTCATTTAAAATCAATTTTGCAATTGTTCATCCAAAGCACATGTCTACATTTGCAAATTCTTTACTTTCTATTTCATGGCTATTACGATGACCCTGCTCGAATCGCAGGTGGGACTTTTGCCTTGTATTCATTGCTTTGTAGGCATGTCAATATTGGGATCCTGCCCTCCAAGCATGGTTATTTGAACACAACTAAGGACGTTCAGAGCAATACTTTGCTTGCCAGGTTCTTCCAAACAAGCGTAGTTGCTCGGAGGCTCTTGCTCTTCGTCGCTATGTTGGGTACTTGCATGCTCATTGGTGATGGTATACTTACGCCGGCAATTTCAGGTTTGGTGACAGTTGTTTCTTTTTTATTTTTTTTTGTCACCTTTCAGAAAAGTTAGATTCCTTTCTTGTCCAATTGAAATATTTTGTTTGGACTTTGCTTAATTTGTTTTCAGTGTTGTCAGCTATGGATGGACTTAGAGCACCTTTTCCTTCGGTTAGCAAATGTAAGTTTCGGAATTCGTGCAGTTTTACTGTGATCCTGGGATTTTGACGGTTCTGTTGTTTTAAACAAGTAGAAGTGGGAATTTTATATTGCAGAATTGAATTTGTTAAAGTTTGGTACATCAAATGAAATGAATGATTCCTTTCCTAAATTTATATTCCACTTTTAGTTACTTAATTCAGATGTTGTTAATAAAACCTTAATTTAATCAGATACAAGCAACATCATCAGCTAATACTTACATAATTCAAAGACAAAAACATAGGAATATTGCCCTATAAGAAAAGATTCTGGAAATTTTATTTATAGCCTGTTTGACTCTTGTTATCCTACGGGATACTGTGTCCTTTGCAAATCGGGAGATGAATTTTCTCGCTCTGATTATGTTGAGCTTGTGCAAGATGCATTCCTGAATGTTTAGGATTATTGTATGCTGCTATTTGAATACCAACATAGGATCAGAAGCTAGTGATCATGTGCTTCTTTATCATCTATCATGAATAATAAAATAAATTGAATAATACAATTTATCTAATGAAGTTATTTGGTAGGTAAAAATGGTACGTTAAAACTAATAAAACCATCATAGGAAGCATTTTATCTTAAGGCATATTCAGATTGGATTTGAGTATACAATTCACTCTTCTGGTTTATATAACTCTAATATCTTTCTAATTTTTCTTTTGCATATGCTGCCGCAGTGCTAGTGGAAGCACTCTCTGCAGTAGTTTTGATCGTGTTGTTCTTGTTGCAAAAGTTCGGTACATCCCGTGTTAGTTTTCTCTTTTCCCCAATAATGGCCACATGGACCCTGAGTACCCCACTTGTAGGAATTTACAGCATCATACACCACTATCCTAGCATATTTAAGGCTTTATCTCCGCACTATATATTCCATTTCTTTTGGAGAAATGGAAAATCTGGATGGCTTTTACTTGGTGGTACTGTCCTTTGCATAACAGGTATCTATCTTATCCTTTCTACATGATATATATCCTTATTGATATAGGGATGAGAGATTTGTCTTTGAAGGACGCCTTTCTTACCTTGTCAAATCATGTTACATTCTACCTGCTATTTGCAAGTACTTGCGGTAGGTGAAGCTATATGGACTAAATAATGTTGCTGTATGAGAATTGTGCAAAAAAGAGTCTTGCATAGTTATTAGAACCTCTTAATTTGGCAATCCAACAATTTGATTCATGTGATGAATTGCAAATGAATACATGTATGAAACAGTATCATTGATATGAATTTCACATTTCATATCATAATGATCCATTAATTTTCATTCCCTTTTGCTTTTCCTTCGGCAATTGTTATTAGAGAAATTGATTAATCAAATAAAAATAAGCTTAAATTATTAAATGAAAAGGAATGCTACTGAATATTTGATTATGTAATTTCATTTTTCATAATATCACTAACTATTCAATATAATTTACTATTCATGATTCAAAAATAAGCTTGGTAATAACCTTAGGGAGTTACAAGAACACGTCCAAACACTTACTGGCGGACGATTGCTTAGATGGGCAACCCAGTACGTTTGTTGTTATGACTTCTGAAATGAATACAGTGATCTCTTAGTTAAACAAATTGATTACTTTCAAGTGGCATGGCACATTGTTCTTGCATATCATCGTACATTTGTTTTTTGTTCGTTCTTAATTTCTTCATCTTGACAGGTTCTGAGGCAATGTTTGCTGATCTTGGTCATTTCAATCAGAAGTCCATTCAGGTTGACTTCTATAATTTTTTTTAATCTCTTTTTTAAGGTTGTGCATCCTTTCCTGCCAATTAATATCTTATCCTCTTTTCTTCTTTGTAAATTTATTATCAGATAGCTTTTCTATTCACAATCTACCCATCTTTAGTTCTGACTTACGCGGGACAGACAGCTTACCTGATCAAGCATCCCAATGATCACGATGATGGTTTTTACAAATTTATACCTACTTCAGTCTACTGGCCTATCTTTGTCATTGCCACTTCTGCTGCAGTTGTTGCTAGCCAATCATTAATATCAGCCACCTTTTCTGTAATCAAGCAATCTGTAGTGCTGGATTATTTTCCTCGAGTAAAGGTTGTCCATACATCTAAAGATAAAGAAGGAGAGGTTTACTCCCCTGAAGTGAACTACATCTTGATGGTCCTATGCGTGGCTGTGATACTTATTTTTGGAGATGGAAAAGACATTGGAAATGCTTTTGGTATGTCTGTTTCTCAAGCCCTATGTTTGCTTAGATAACCTTAAATAGTTGCCACCTGATTAACATAAACGAATTCCATGAACTACTATAACAGTTTTTGGGTCAACACCCATTTTGAATTTGAAATCAAACAATGATACAATTCAGATTAACAGAAGCCTTCTGTTAGTTCCAAGTATGTCAACGTACAATATATGGAGTGAGAAGCTATTCTGCATCCAAGACTCAGGCAGTTCTTCTCAATCATATATGTATATAAAATGTAACAGTTTCTTATGTCTACAAATGATTACAGCTTTGGCCATGTTGGCGACCATAGACTTGTTTCTATTTAGTATATGGAACTATTTAGCGTCTGTCAGCAATCGTTGCAATAGTCTGATGATGGTGTACCATTTATTGCAGGTGTTGTTGTGAGCCTAGTTATGCTTATCACCACTCTATTGCTTACACTAGTCATGATCATGATATGGAGGACTCCTGCTGTGCTGGTTGCCCTCTACTTCGTTGTATTTTTTGTGATGGAAGGAGTTTATGTTAGTGCAGTTTTCACCAAATTTGCTGAAGGTGGATGGATTCCTTTTGCCATATCCTTTATCCTTGCTTTCATCATGTTTGGTTGGTTTTATGGTAGACAAAGAAAGACTGATTTCGAATTAACCCACAAGATAACCTTTGAGAGACTTGAAGAGCTTTTAGCTGAGCGCTGTGTTCAAAGGGTTCCTGGGCTATGCTTCTTTTATACCAAGATTCAAGACGGGCTGACTCCTATTCTTGGACACTACATAAAGAACATGAAATCACTTCATAAGGTCACAGTATTCACTACTCTTAGATATTTGTTAGTTCCCAAGGTTGCTCCACATGAGAGGATTGTGATCAAGGAGTCAAATCTCAGAGGGGTATATTGCTGTGTGATACAGTATGGCTATGCAGATGCTCTAAATTTAGAAGATCATTTTGTTGATCAAGTCATTAGTAGTTTGGCACAACATATACAGAAGCATCAGTCTCCCGAGAATCTTTCATCTGATTTTCAAGAGATTGAAGAGACTTTGAACCTAGAAGAAGCAAGGCATGCGGGGGTAGTTCATGTTCGTGGAAAGACCAGATTTTACATTGGCCTGAACTGTGGCTGGTTTGATAAAATTGTGCTTAGTTTTTATGAAGTCATGCACAGCAACTGTAGATCTGGCTTGCCGGCTCTCGGGATTCCACCACAGCAACGGATTGAAGTTGGAATGCTATACGAGGCTTGAAGGGTTATTACTGTATTCAAGCATTTAAATTTCCCAAGATTCCACGTTTTCACTAGCTCATACTTACACTAGAATAGAGGGGCAAAACAATTGAAGTGATAAGCAAAAGGGCTTCAGCAATAGGTTCCTGTAGCCACAAAGATCCTACAAGTGTGTAACTATTGTGTTCATAACATGAAAGAACAGAAAAACAAAAAGAAAATAACTTCACTTTGTATGGAAAATTACACAAAGAATATTTTTGATAAAACCAATGTTAGATAGAGCATTGACAAGATACTATCTATACATTTTAATTTAATCGTATCAATAGAAAAATTGTTTAACCATCTAATAGATGGTCCATCATACCACATGTCCATCAAATTACCACATGCGAGATGATGTGATGTTCCATCAGACCACCTAGCATTCATCAGACTGTTTACTTACCATTAGACAGTTTTATCCTAGAGTCATATCCTAGATTCGCCTCTACACTTCTCTACCTTGACTCTAAATCCATAAAAAGCTTCTCATCGTCGTTGTTCCTGATCTCCTTTATCAAGCGAAAATTCATCAACTCCAAACAACTATTGAACTTAGACTTTAATTAGGACTTCACGAACACATTTGTAGAATTATTTTTAAACACTATTTTCACAATCTTGACCTTCTCAATCACATATTTAATGAGGTGCAATTTGATATCAATCATGGTACATTTGATGATAAGCCAACACTCTTGACTATCATCCCTTTCAACCATAGAGTCTCCTTTACCCTCTCTATGAGTGTGATATATTCTACTTGGGTAGTTGACAACATCACCATTAAGTGTAAATTATGAGTTCCTAGTTACCCCGGAGGGAGGAGACATCATCCCAGGAGAATTACGATAAGCATGACTAGAAGGGAGAACTCTTCCTTATCCTCCACTTTAATTTTTTTTAGCATTTTTATTTCTTAAATATTAGAGACACATTTTCGCACGTTTTTTAGGACCACTTTATGCGCCTCCTTTTTGAAGACCATCGTCTCTTTTTGGTGGAAAAGAAGGCTTGAACATATAAGATAATTGCATGGGCTGCCCAAAGGTGTAGGACACTCATTTTTCATGTCCAACACCCATTTTTTGAGACGAAGAAACTTGAGATGTGGGATTGGTAGGCTTAAGACAACCCAAAAGGAAACACACATTTTTTTCATGTTGTTCACACCCTTAGAGACATTTTTAGTGGTTTAAGAGGAATTTAACATATTTGAGCCATGGGACTTTTAACTTTTAGGTTTAGGTTAAGTTTATGTCTCATTTTTGTAATTCCATCTAGGTCCCTTCCCAAAAGGCTATAAATAGATTGTTTCCCCTCATGTAATAAGTTGAACATTTTATGTGTGTGAAGTTTCTTAGAGTGTCTTATCTTGAACCTTGGTTCAAGTGTTGACTCATCCCCTAGTGGTGTGGCAACACTCCACCACCACAACCACCATACTTCTCTTCTCTTCATCTTTTCTTCTTTATTTATTCACACCATTTATGTATCTAAGGAGTTGTTCCATTTTTCCAGCCCTTGTCTTTATTCTTTTCTAACTTCTTTCCATCTCTTTCTCCCTCCCCAATCCTTGAAAATGCACCTTCACACCTGGATAGGCAACTATCTTAGTGTTTAATGTAAATTTTCCTTGGGTTTTCTTATTTTATTGCTTAAACTTTGCACCTTATCTTCTTAAAATTTTGTATCTTACTTTATTATATATCATTTGGTATCCAAAGCTTAGGTTGTTTCTAGTAAGGTATTTTTGTTATTGCTTTGACTTTATTTCTTGTGTAACTTGTGTTTTATGGTTTAACTTGTGGTTTTTGTGGCCATTTGGTTTGCAGTTATGCACTCAAATGTTTGGGCATGAGGTTGGTGCAATACTACACTCACCTAAGTTTCTTTTAATGCCATGTATAATGCTTGATAAAATGCCTAACAAAAATAAAATAAAATTTTGCACTTGATTAAGCTACATATTCTTCTAAGTTTAGTTTCTTTCTAAATATGCCTAGTTTTTTATTTGAGTTATATGTCTGATATACTTTGTTGAAGTTTTCATTTCTTGAATTCCAATACTTGAACTTGCATTAGAAATTGCTTAGTTTGGTCCATGCATGATGAATTGATTTAGGATCCTAAACATAGGGACTAAGTGATCAAATTTTTCCTAGCAACTTTAATTAACTTTTGACAAGTCTAGAATCAAGTTAGAACGAAGACATAATTTTTTTTACACAAAAGTACCTTGACCAAAACCTTATTACTTTAAAAAAAAAGTAAAACAAAAATTTGCACTTATATGATTTGATTATAGAAATTGTCATAATACTTTAGTTTTCTTTATGTGTGTGTTTGACTGAAAATTTTGATTGCATATTTTAAGTGTTTCTCAAATTTCTTTCTAGCTTTTCTTCCGTTAGTCTTGTTCAAAATTTTGTCAAAAAATAATCCACTCTTAGTATACATTTATTGTTTTTTTTTTGTGTTTTTCTTATTGTTTTAGGTCTCTTTAAGTTTTGTTTGTGAAAGTTTTTTTTTTTTTGGAACTCTTAAGTATTCTTGGTTGGTGTACATAATTTTCACTTGATTGTCATTTTTCAAGAAAAAAATAAAACAATTTTTTTTTAAGGCTTAAAGAGGGATTTTTGGACACTTAGAAAAACTTTACTTGAAGAGTGGAGTGATCTTAACCTTGAACTTGTGTGAGAGACCAAACACTTGAGGGAATTTAGTTATTTTGTTATCTAACCTTCACTTTGAAGTTGTTTTTGTCTTAGTTTAAGTGCTTTGTAGAAATGTCAAACTCTTCTTCCGAAAAGGCAATCAACGTGGGTGGGTTTAATGAAGGACAAATGAAAGGTCAAGCAGAGCAAACTCCAGTGGAATTGATTAGGGAGATGAAATTGTCCCTAAAGAAAAGTGAAAAACATTTGAAGGAGATAATCCAAAAACTTGAAGCTGAGAAGTCCCAAAGACAGAGAATGCGTTCATACTCGCCAAGTTCCCAATAAGAAGAAGATACAAGATACCATGGAAGGAGACATTCTAGGTGCACCAATACTCCAAGAAGAAACAACATAAAGATTCCAAAGTTTTATGAAGATAACGATCCAAGAGTATACTTGGACTAGGAAGCAAAAGTAAACTAAATTTTCAATGTAAACCCAATAGGGCACCAAGAACAAGTAGACTTAGTGGTAGTTGAATTTGAAGGATATGCCATGACATGGTGACATAAGGTATGTAACGATAATTACCAAGGTCCACCCACAACTTCTTGAATGAACATTAAACATTTAATGCATGCTAAATTCATTCCTTCCTACTATAGGAGGGAGCTCCTATTAAAGCTCCAACGACTTCAACAGAGAAACATGTGTGAATGATTACTTTAAGATGCTAGAATCTTTGCTGCTTAGGGTCGGTATGCATGATGAAACTAATGAGTCTAAGGTAGCTAGGTTTATTAATGGTCTTAGAAGAGACATTAAGGACTTAGTAGAATTATACGAGTACTCCTCCATAGAAAATGTTTTATACCTTGCCCTTAAGATTGAAACTCAACTAAAAAGAAAGGATGAGGCTAGGATGAATTATTTGCATAATGGCTACTATAGTTCAAATTAGAAAGGTAAAGGAAAGGAAAAATAAAAATTAGAGAGGAACCCTTCCAATCCAAGATGACGACCCCTAAGAGCAACTCTTCAAGGAACCTCACTCTTAACGCAACCACACCTCAAAAGACTAGTTCTATCAAATGTTTTAAATGTCTTGGGTACGAGCACATTGTTTCAAATTACCCTACCAAAAAGAACTACGATCTTGAGTGCTAACGGAGATGTCGAGAGTGAGCATTTCTCTTCCCCATCCCCCTCTAGAGAATGTTCTTCTAAACACTCTTCCTCACACGATGAAGAGATCAAGCCTTGTGAAGACGATTTGTTAATAATAAGGCAGATGTTGGGTTAAGTCCAGAAAGACCTTGACAATACCCAAAGAGAAAATATTGTTCACACTTGCCACCTTATTAACAAAAAATTGTGTTCACTCATCGTCGATGGGGGAAGTTATGTAAACGTGGCTAGCACGAGGGTAGTAGACAAGCTTGGTCTACCTACTACTTCTCATCCCAACCCTTATAAACTTTCGCGGCTTAGTGAGCAAGATGAAATTGAGGTCAATAAACAAGTCCTCATTAACTTTGCGATGGCGAATTACAAAGACGTGGTTCTTTATGATGGTGTGTCAATAGAAGCATCTCACATTTTACTAGTTAGGCCATGACAATTTGATAAACAAACTTTTCATGATGACTATACCAATAAGTTTTCATCTACCTTCCAAGGCAACAAGATCATTTTGAAACCCCTCTCCCCTTTAGAAGTTAGTAAGGACCAAGAAAAAAAATGCAAAAAAAGAGAAGAAAAAGAAAAAAAGATGAAAAAGAAAAGAAAGAGAAAAGGTCGACTTTAAAGGCAAAGGGTGCAATGATCTCCCACAAGAGGGTTATACCCTATCTTTTATTTCACTTCTTCGGCAATAGTAAAAATCTTTTTGAACTATGGATACAAGAATCCAAATTTAATACGTAATTTTAATATTCAAAGAATCTTCTTTCAAAATCTTAGTTTTCAGTTGTTAAATCCCCTTGTTTTACCAAGTTCAATATTGATAAGATTAGTAAATATTTATTTATTTCGATGTAACAATAAAAATAAATAAAAACAAAATAAATAGAAAGGTTAAAATACTTGTAGCTCAAAGGCCCCTCCTCTTAGCCTATCCTCCTTTAGGTTCCTCCCTTGCATTTCATGAGCAATCTCCGAGTTTGTCCAAGACTCTAGAGGTTCTAAGAGAGCATTTTTACTGACCACATATAACCAAGCATGTAGAAAAGTATTGTGAAAATTGCAATGCATGCAAAAAGGCCAAGTCTAGAGCCCAAACCCATGGGGTCTATACTCCTCTTCCCATCCTTACTTTGTCTTAGGTAGACATATCCATGAATTTTGTACTTGGGGTTCCAAGGGCAAAGTAGGGAATGGATTCCATCTTTGTGGTAGTGGACCGATTTTAAAAATGGCCAATTTTATTCCTTGCCATAAGATGCATGATGTGTGCCTGATTGTAAATATCTTATTTAAGGAAGTTGTTAGGCTGCATGGGATTCCTACGACTATTATATCATATAGGGATACAAAATTCTTGTGTCACTTCTAGAGAACCTTATGGGAAAAACTTGGCACTAAAATTCTTTTTTCAACCATTTGCACCCCAAATAGATGGTCAAACAAAAGTAGTGAATAGTGTTAGACAAATGACATCTAGAGGGGGGGTGAATAGATGCACAAATTAAAATAGATGCCAAATTAAAAATTTATTTTAAGATGTCCAATATTTATTAATTCAATTTTAATTATCAAATTGAACAAAGATAAAATGGAAGCGATATAATCAGAGAGATAAAATACCAACAAGATAGAGAAAGATAGAGATAAAAATAAGGGGTGTAAGGAGAATAATACAGTGAAAAAGGGATAAGGGAAAGAAGAGCATACAGTGATTTATACTAGTTCGGGTATTGCCAACCCCACATCTAGTTCCCAGTCAACTCTTAACACAAGAGTGACCCCAATTCACTATCTTTTAAATCTAATTCACAAATTACAATCAACTCAGCAAAAAGTAAACTAATTCAAAAGATAATCACTTCCTTAGAAACCCACTA